TCGATGCAGGTTGGCTTAGGCCAGCATCCTCTACTTCATCTTTGTAAAGTGAGCCTTAAAATCAGCATGGAGTTCCGCACGCGCGCAACATCTCTTCAATGGTTGCAACCCGCGAACGTACATACATTGTTGTAAAAATATATTAGAGGGGGGGAGACCGTACAAAGCCTGACATGGGGACATGTCGATCTCTTAATGATGACTGTAATTGAGTGCCAACTCTTCTCACAGAAGGAAGACATACCACTTTGTTGGACGTTCGCAGGCGAAAAAGGCCAGATATGGTTCCTGGGTACGGTTGACAACTTTTGTTTGGCCATCCATTTGAGGGTGACAGGTCGTGCTGAATTTCAAGGTAGTACCACTCAACCACATGAGTTCTTTTAAGAAAAGGCTCATGAATATCGAGTCTCTATAAGACACCCGTCGGAAAGCCTAGATCCTTGACGACGACGTCTATGAAGAGCTGCGCGCGCGATGCTAAAGGTGCCAAAACTGGCAAGCAAGGTCCCAAAATGTGAGTACATCGTTAAATGATCAACCACCACTAGAATAACTGTGACACTGCGAGAAGGGGGTAACCTGATGATGAAATCCATTTTGTAGATAAAAACATAGAGCTCCTATTTTGATACTTTCTCTATGTTTAATTCTCATTTAGGGTGATTTCTTTTAATAAATATGTTTTGATATATTTTTATTTTTTAAATATAAAATGCATGAAAATTCATGTACGTACTGGTATGAATTGAATTAAAGTATTCTCTAAATAAAACTCATAACCTTTACGGTTGAGCAAACTCGATGATATTGGGTCATGAACAAATAATTCCTAAAATTAAACCAGAAACAATTAAAAATTGGAAGGATCAAACTTGAACCTATGATTCTCATAATCGTAAGAACAATAATTATCGTTCATTAGAGGATTGTTATACCAATTATTTTCATAACCTGGATCATTACCAAAATTATCTTGGAAGTTTCGTGAACAATCAAAATTATCATTATCATTATTGTTCCACCTATTATTATTAAATTGATAATCATATTCACTTATAGGTGGATTTTCATAAAAATTATTTTCATAATGGTAATTTTCATTATAATCACGAGAAAAATTATTTTCACAATATGGGTGTGGAGGTTGATCATAAAATTGAGAATTATGAAAATGATTACTAAAATGATTCATAAAAAAATAAAATAAAAGGAAATTAAAGAAACAAACAATAAGAAATAAATCTAGTAGACTAAAAATTTTCCTATGAAAATATTAAAACTAAGTAAACCGTGCCACTCCCTGGCAACGAAGCCATTTGATGAACTGCGTACAACGGTAAGTCAACAAATAATCGAGTTGGACTCGGGTCATTCTCTCCAGGAGTGACGAAGAGAATAATTAGATTTATTATTTATCACAGGCTAAAATCTAGTCTAATAGTCTACTAAAAGTGGATAGAAATTAAGAGTTTAAATGAATAAAACAACTAAAAGAACTCAAGGAGTTAGGATCAGAACTCGGACTCAACACAATTTAACTCATCTTTTAATCGGCAATTGAATTAATGAAATATATAACACTTATGTTCAATATATCAACTATTTCTAGGTCTCAATATAAAACATAAAAGCTAATCTTATATTTAATACATCTCATATTTCTAGGTCTTAGTATTAAATTATAAGATAATTATATTTCTAGTACATCACCTATTTCTAGGTCTTAGTATTGTGCTAGAAAATGTCCAGCTTAAATAATTCTAAATTCTCACATACAAGGCAAGAACTATTTTCCAATTATTTAATTAATAAAATGTTTAGTATTATTAATTAGTTTGAACCATTCCAAACAATTATTCTAACCCTGCTTATTTCTAGGTGTTTGAAATGTGTGGCTTCATCAATCTTATAATCTCATACACAAGATAAAAGACTAACAATTAATAAAACAATTTTATTAATTTATAAACATTAATTCATTTTCTAACAATTAATCCAATTACTAATAAATAGATGAAATGAAATTGGTTAAATATTAATTCTGAATCCTAACACATAAAATTACCAATTCATAAGCTTAAATAAAACATTCAACGTCATCACGCTAATATAATAAATTCTCAAACGCATATCAATAATCAATATCTTTCAACGTAAATAAAATGATGTTTTATTAATAAAAAGCTCAATAACAAATACAAGAAAAAAATATAACTTAACAGTGCTTCAAATAACTTGAGAAATGATTCTTGATGATGAAAGTTAAACAACACAAATTTACTACTATATTTAGGGAAGAAATAGGGGAGTTTCGCCCCTAAAATGGGTAAATCGATATGGAAAAGGCTTGGTAGAAGTGATGGAGTCCACCTCTATTTATACTACTTCACCTCTAAGATGGCGGAGAGTTGTTCTCTAGAGTCTTCCATAATTCTAGAGAATTCCACTATCTTCTTTTTTTACACTCTTCGACAAAAGGCTCCACATCTCTCTAGGGAATTCCAAAGGCTTCAATATTCTTCCATAATCCTCTAAAAATTTCTATACATTTCCAGAATGTTCTCGAGGCTTTCAAATTTTTCCACATTCTACCATACACTTCAAGAGAATTCTACACGCCTCTAAAGTTCTCCAGGGAATTCAACTCTTCTCTAAAAACCCTCTAGAATTTTCCGGAACCTTTCTTCTATTTATGTAAACTTCAAATTCCTCACCTTTTGAGAATTATTTTTCTATTGAAAATTGAGTCTTTTTATTCCATTCTTGGCCCAAATTTGCATATTTATTCAAAGACATTCTTTTTATGATCAAACTATCAAAACATAATATTTTGATAAAAAAGAATAAAGAATTTATTGATTTGATAATTAAAATGGTACAAGAACGTATTAAATATGAGTAAAAAATAAGTATGAAATGGACTTATCACGATGTTTCTTGGATTACCTTAGTTGGAGAAGTTGATTATCTTTTGAGCTTATTTCTCCCATTTTAATAAAAAAACCAAACAAATAAGAAAGTATAAAAAACCAAAAAATATATTTACTTTTCACCCTACACCCCCTTGTTATGTTTAAGTTATAGATAAACGTTTTTATACTTTTATATACTTAAGTTTATGTTTTATGTTTATAAGTTCTTTGTTATATAAGTTATTTATAAGTTTTATGTTTATTATTATTATAATTTCTATTATAAGTTTTTTAAGTCTTATCATATGTGTAGTAATTAGTTTGTTTTATTTAGTGACAATACGTGTCCATGCTAATTTGATTTCAAAAGTACAAACATTCTATATTGGATCGGTCCTTACTTGCCCTAGTTATAGTTTATATTTGATTATATCTTGGGGATTAGCTAATGATATTTATAAATTATTAATTTGTTTTAGACCGCACGACGGATCCTCAACAACCCTTTCTCGCCATGCGTGCTCTCAACAACTCTTCAACTCGGGTTAGCTTGGGGCCAATTCAACACCTTGGTCCGGCCCAACGCCGATACTTGAATATCTCCGTGTCCCAAAATGCTCCTGAGCATGCGGATTGGGTTGCTCGGCTGGTAGCGGCACATCACAATGTTTAATAATATGAATGGATGTACAAGTACATTTAAACTATTGCGAGTAATCAAATGTATGGTGAGAGAAGATAATTCATTTGAACATTTAAACACCATCCAGGTACACTAATGACCCCACCCATTAAATAATTTTATTTATCAATTATATTATAATAAATAATTAATTAATGTAATCGCTAAATTATTTTATTTATCATTACTTTTTATTATTTAATTAGTCATTTTTTCTATCTTTGAAAGATAAATTTTGTTTATAATTTTAATCTTATTTCAGTTATATTAATTTATACTCTTCCATTTCTTGAAACATCCCCTCTTTCATTTTTTTGTTGTCCCCAAAACACTTCTACTTTCTATTAAAAAACTACTTTTACCCTTACTTTTACTTATGCTACCTATGACATTATACTTTTTCACTAATAATCTATCCATCATATCTTACTTGTTGTAATTTTTTTCTCTAAGTATAAGTTTATATAAATTTTAGATATTTAATTTAATATTTTTTTTATAATTTTTAATCATAAATTATGTTATGAAAAAAATTAATATTATTTCATACTCCGTAATATAATATAGAGTATGGTTATTTAAAATTAATACTCCCTCCATCTCTATTTTGATTACAATTTTATTTTCTCTCTCTTCTCAATAACTTTTGTTTGTGTATTTTCATTGATTATTTGATAAAATAAAATATTCTTGTCACTTCTTGTTTTGTACCCGAATTAGAATTTTTTTCTATAGTTTTTTACAGGTAATTTTTATTTCTTATTGAGTACCAATTTGTAAATAAAATGATTTCAAAAATTGTGAGATTTTATCTCGTAATTTTTAGTTTGTAATCAAAATAAGGACGGAGGGAGTAAATAAAGTAAAGTAAAATTGGGACCCATAAATAATTGAATGAATTAATAAATGGATGAGATGCATTCTGAATGTTTGTTTAAAAAAAGGTTTAAAGATGAAAAATGTAAAGATGATGTGAATGAGAGAGAACGATTAGTTGGATGGTTGAATTTTTAATTAAGGAATGAAGATGTTCTAAGTAGGCGAGCGGCTCACTTGAATAGGCCCATTGGTGTTCTACCATACTAAGAGGAAAACCGGTCCATCTTTCGGCCCAAAGCCTCTAAATGATTCAAGGGGGCTAGGGGTGGAAACGGTACGGTTCCGGGCCGGTTCCGGTTCCGGTACCGCCACCCCTTGGTACCGGTACCGTGACCGGACCGGGCGGTACCGGTTCCAGTACCCGGACCGGCCAGTTTCGGCCACTCCAATTTTTTTTTGCTTTTTTTTTTTAAATTTTTAAAGTATAAAATTGTAAATTTGCAATTGTTAAAGGAAAGAATGAAATAAAAAATCTAAAAATGTAGTTGTTATTTAAATATTGTAAAATGAGTAATACACGAACTGAAGAACAACTACATTTAATATCCTGATTCCTGACAGTTCAAAAAAAGCGACGAGGTAAAGAACCGTAAAGAAACACTCAAAGGAGCTTATATATCGCTCACCTAAAAAACTAATTACATATTTACATTATTACATATCTACATTAACATAAAAAAAAGTTTATAACTTATTCCTCAGAACTCGGACTTCCATCTGTGGTTGCATTCATGTAATGCTCCGAATTGAATTCGTACCTTGACTCTTGAGCTCGACGTCTTGCCAAGAGCCAATCTTGGTTGCAAACACTGAATTTTCGTTCCACTGCTAGAATGTTGCCGCCAGCACTGAATTCTCGTTCCACTGCTACGGTTGATACCGGGATGGACAACACTTGTCTTGCTAGCATTCCGAGACATGGGAAGATTTGTTCGTTCTACTTCCACCATCCGAGGACGTCAAACTCCACGTCGTCGTCGTCGTAATCGCATGGCACCCCTTGGTACATAGCAAGTTCGTTGTGCGAGCTTATTGTTGTACCACTTGAACTCGTCGAAGGCTGAGCACGCTTCTCTTTCTTTGCAAGAAGCCCACCGACTATTCCTTTAAAACCTTTTTTTGATTTGGGGAGCGGAGGAGGTGCTGTTTCTTCTAGTACACTACCGTATAATCCTTGATATTCCTTAAACAAATCCTCAAAAAGAGTTATATCATTATCTCTTTCTTTTTTCCATTCTATTAAATGACTGTAGTAATAACTATTTTCATCTAAAAAACAACTGTAGTAATAGTCAATTAGAATTTTAAAATTTTCAATCTTAAAGCGTGGATCACAAATAATACCTATTTTATAAATATCAGAAATGTACAAATAATAAGCACACCATTTATCTTTCATAGGAGAGACATAAGGGTACAATTCTTCATCAGCCAAACTTTCACGAAAACATTTGCGATTGTAACACACTCTTTAAAAAATGTATTTGTAGTTGGTTGGTAAACATGCAAAAAAGTAAGAGTTGCGTTATTAAAAACTTCTAATACGGAATTCAATTTTCAACAATAACAAATTCAATAGGTGAAATGATTATACGAAGTTCATCCCTAAAAAATTCAGCAAGTTCCTGTTTGTAGCTAAGAATCTGTGCTATGAACTTGTAAGTACTATTCCATCTAATGTTGATATCTTTGGCAAATGTTAGTTCTCTTTTACCCTTAGACTTACAGAATATCTTCCAGGACCTCGAAATAAGACGACTACCCCAAAATTTTCTAATTCCTTCTTTAATATTCGTCAAACCCCCCATAGCTTCTAGTCCCTGTTGAACACATAAATTTAAAACATGACAGACACGCCGTTGAAGCAGAAATCTACCGATAGTCGTCGTAGGGGGCAAATTTTTCTAATTCTAGGAATAGCAACAGTATTATTAGTTTATCAAACCACATGCAAACACTTTATCAACTAAGTTGTATTCCTGCAGAATACTCTTAAGCAATTGGAAAATATTTTCAGCAATATGAGAATCATTGAAATCACGAAATGCAAGCACACGTTTATGCATAATCCAATCACTATCTATTCAATGACAAGTAACACCCATATAAGACAAATTATGATATGTTTCACTCCAAATATCAGAACAAATAGTAACACGAGAATTAAAATTGAGAAAAAAAATTTGCCAAATTTATTTTTTCAAGTTTATACTGTCGAATAATTTCTCGTTTAATTATTTTTATTGAAAAACCTCTTGCTTGAGGGTTTAATGCCTGTTGAGAATAATCAATAAATCCAAGTTTTTCAGAAAACATGTATGGCAAATTTTCTTCACAAATCATTTTGACCATTTTTTGCTTATTTTCTCATCGCTATAAGCAAAAAGGCCGCTCTTACCCCTGTTAGCAAACCGAGAAATTTGGGTTTGCACTTCTTATCGTCCCTTCTTTTTCGCCGCGTATTTGGCGTACTCCACGGGATGCCTCGACCATAGGTGTTTTTGCAGACCACCATAACCGCCGGAAACTCCCATTTTAATGACGGTGCCACAATAATTACAAGTTCCATAAACTATGTCATTTTTTGTATCTTTTTCAAAATGATAAACAAATAAATCTGATTTTATTTTTTTTTTACCTTTGCCCGGACCTTGAGAGGTCTCGGGCTCACCTGCCTCCTCGTCGACGTTGTTGTTGTACGGTGTAGGCTCCTCGTCCCCGTCCAGATTGTCCAGTCCTGCTTCATCAATATCCTCGAATAAACTATCAAGAGTGGGGAGATTCGTGTCGCCTCTACCAGAAATGTACTGGTCGAATTCTTGATCCGTCAAAGCGTCGCCGATGAATTATATAATTTAAAATATAAATTATATATTTAAATTATTTAAAGAATATATTAAAAAATTAATTATATATTAAATTTCGAAACTTTTGAAATTATAATATTAGTAATAAACTAAAAATATATGATAATTGATAATATGAATAATGAATGTATTATTTATAGGTTATTATATAATATATATTTATATTATTATATGAATATAAATTGTATAAAAATTGATAAAAAAATAAGATTGAGAGATTGAGATAATGAGAGAATAAGAGATGGATTGAGTATTTGAGTGTGAGTTTTTTGAAAAAAAAAATGGATAATTTATAGGAATTNCCCCCTCAAACGGCTAAATAGATGTTGAGGTGCCTCCATCCACTAATTTTTTTTGTTTGCAGGTTGCCGTTTGGGAAGAAGCCAAGGAAAAAAAATTTAAACCGGTACCGATACTGGCGGTGCCGGTACCGGTACCGAAAATTTGGAACCGGAACCGGTACCGAGTGGGGCGGTACCGGTACCTTAAACATGGATAAAGATGATTTTTTATTCAAAATTAGTTTTCTTATATATTCCCTCTGTCTCTTAATATTTGTCACACTTGTATTCTCGAGGTAAAATATCAAGTTTTTTCAATTCATTTTATTTACATATTGGTATAGAAATGAAAAATAAAATTTACATATCAAAAAACAAAATGAAAAGTTCTTCGAAATAAAAAGTTTCAAGAATATTTTTTTATCAAATAACCAATTAAAACGAAAAATATACAAAAGTTCTCGCAACTGCTGAAAAAGCAAATGTTGTAAATATTTTGGGACGGAGAGAGTATTTATTTAAGTAATATTCTTTTAACACTCTTTTTTTCCAACTTGTTCCCATTTTTCTAACTTCTACTTTTTACCAATTATTTATAGTAACTTTTAACTCATTTCAATTTCTTCTCACGTCTAATTTTAGAATTCAACTTAAAAGAAGATACCTTAAACTAGAGAAACCTGAAAATGTAGTTTGGTGAGGTGCTGTATGAGGATGTATGAAGATAAGATTGCCAAGCAAGATAGTAGCATGTGGGGACGACGAATTCAAGCGGCTTGTTTTTTAGTTAATGTTCCTTTGCCGTCGTGTCTTTTCATTCGCGCGCGCGCGCGGGGCTTCTTCAATCGATCTTCTTTTTAGGCCTTAGCCACCCCCAACGCACATCGCTCTCAATGACACATGGATCGGATCGGATCGGAGTAGATAATTACGGTCAAATGGCCGGCGCCTCCCGGATAAAAGCTGACTAGCTTCTTCATTAATTCCTCCCGGTCAAATGGTCATAGGCACTCCCTCCGTTCTCAAAAACACTTTCTCTTTCATTTTTTTCACTTTCAACAAAAGACTTCCTCTTTCTATTAAAAACCATTTTAACTCTTACTTTTTCATACCATACCTATCACATCATATTTTTTCTCTAAAAATCTATCCATCACATCTTACTTTTACCCATCACATCAGAGGCAAAATTGGAGGAGGGAGTATAATTTAACACTTCCTCATTTTTGCCCCCAAATCAAAATGGGAAGTCTTTTTGCAAACGGAGAGAGTATATTTTAACACAACCTCTTCAGATGCATCTAAGAATTGTTTTCGCTCGAGTCTTGCACATAAAAGTTATAATTTTTAAAATTGGATAATGTTGAATTTGAATGTGACATTTTAGTCATCAGCTTTGATAACATGTCAATGGAACCAATTCAATCAAAAAATAAAAAAACACTAAAATAGAGAAGGTATTAAAATACGAGTTTCATGAGTATTATCCACAAAATAGGTGATATAATAATGCAATAATTTCAACGTATATTACAAAAAATGTGGTGGGTGGCACTATACAGTGTAATTTTGTCACCATGCGAATTTTTATTTTGGGGATAAAAAATTATATAACTCTTGCTATGAGAATAAAGGCTATGTTGTACTTGTATATGAAATGATTTCACAATAAAAAAAAACTCAAGCTTTTAGTAATAGGCTTTGGAAAAGTTTTATACTCTAACATATCATGCATTCATTTGGGATTGTACCAAAATCGTTACCAAATCATCTTGAATCGGTATTTCAAGATCGAATCGCTACGGATACCAAACCAAAATAATTATTAAGATATCGACGAGAGATAAATACTATATCATGCCCACTCTAATTTTAGAAAATTACTCCTAAGTTACACATATTTTTTAAATAATTCACAGGTTTCTTTATTTTCAAGAACACAAGAGAGCCTTATTTTTTATGGTAACTAGTATTCTGACACGTGCCATGCAAGGGTGGAACGAAATTGTTTTTTATTGTACAATATCAAATATTTAAACAATTTGATTTTTTTATGTTATATACCATTTAAATTTCATATATATATATATATATATATATATATATATATATATATATATATATATATATATTTTACCATAGTATTAACTTCTTACTTTCTATAATATATTTTACGTGTTAGAAATGTCTCGTAAACAACATCACATCTCAGCTTCTTAGAAATTAAAATATCAATTTTATAAATAAAGGATCAACTATAAACATATTTGATTCTTTCCTATAAGAATAATTTTAAATGAAAATATATAATTATCAAAATTTTGTTTTTTGTGTATGCACTTAGTTAAAAATTTGATTCATAAAACATGCTAGTCTAGAAATGGTAAGTGATAATACCAATTTTATATTTTCACTAATTTTTTGCTACATTATAATAAGTTTTATTATAAAATTATATTTTATATAATTTTTTTCCTTTATTAATTTTATTTCGGACAATACTATATTTATCTTTCACAAATTTGATTTAATAACATAATTAATTTTATCACAGCATAACAAATAAATAAATGAATTTCTTTTTAAAAATAAAAAATATAAAAACTCAACTAATGTCACGAAGTAATGAATTTTTTATTTGTCCTAAATCTTTTTACGTGAAATTTTTCTAAAATTTGAAATCATTATTAAATTTCTATTTTAAAATAAAAAAAGGTCAATTCATCATTAATAAAATTTGCCACATAAGCAACCAATAAAGGCTTGGCAACCAATAAAGGCTTGCGATCTCACCTTAATATAGCCCACATAAGCTTGACACTTGGCGACTTTCTAGCAAATGGAGTCTCAAAAATTATAATAAAGGATTATACTTTTTATAACTAAAAAGATATCTTTATATAATACTTTTTTAATTATAAAATATTATAAAAGGTTAAGTGAAAATGTAACATACATCACTCTAGCTTGGATGGTAAGGAACTTATCTAATTGATTACGAGATCTTGGGTTCAAACTCCCATGGTGGTATGCTTTTGGAAAAAATTGCAAAAAAAAAAATTGGTCGGCCGGTTTGTCTAAAAGGGTGACACATCAGCTCTGCCACATGTCACGCTTTAGTTCTGCCAAATGTCACGTTTTTATAGCTCGGAGTCTGCTTTATATATATAAAGGATAAAGGATTAGTGGGAGGAGACCTAGAAGTTAATAAATGTTTTTTTCTAATTCCTCTTAATATTTTAGGACAATTACTCTCAGGTCCTCACATTTTGATTTCTTTTTTTTCAATTCCTATTTGTTTCTTTTCTTAAAAAAATTAAATTTCTTCTAAAAAGTTATTTCACAAATTTAAGATTGTTTGTACGTAATAATAAATCAAATAAAAATTCGTAAGAAAAGATATCGAGCAATTGAAAAGAAAAAATGAAATTATTTTTTCCAAGAAAGTCCTCAAGGTTCTTTTTTTTGAAGGCCCTCAAGGTTTTTTTTAGAGTATTAAAAGTAAAAAAGAGATCCCATTATTCTCTTTTTTGAATGCTACAAACTACAAAAAAAATCTTTTTATAGTTTTGAGAAAAGTGAAAAGAGACCATATACAATTTTGCCTTTGTTTTTTATGGATCTTTATTGGAGTATGTTTTGTAATTAGTGTGCAAAGTGTATAAGCTCACTTACTTTGGCCCAAGTGCCCTTTTTTGTTTGTATATATTCGATGTTTATGGAATGAAATTATGAGAATATTATTTCTCTGTTATGTACAAATGTCTTTTGATGTTCTCCATGTCTAAGTTAGACCTTTGATATTCCCCTTTGTAAGCCTATATATAGAGGCTCCATATAATGAAATGATCTATCCATCTCTTTTGAGAGAGTAACGTAAAGAAGAGGAAACCAAGAGGTAACGTGAAACAGGAACGTAAACACAATAGTTCCATATAGAGGTAACGTGAAACAAGATAGCAAAACAAGTACTGTTATAAGTATATTAGAAATAAAGATTGTGCAATAGTCGTGCTATGAGATTTTTTTCTAATTTTCTAGAAATTACTCCTCTTCATATCTTATCCTTGTTCATATTCATGTTATAGATATATACATATACATATACACTAATTTACTTTAGTTTTTCAAGTGTACTTGTAGATATATTGAATCTAAAACTCCTAAATATATTGGAGAATTGGCATGTGAAGCCTACATAATGTGTTAAAATTGATAGTTATATGATAAAACTCAACCTGAAGCTTGAGTACATATATATTATGTCGGGAAAAATATCATTCCTTCAGTTTTTTTTCTCTTTTACTAGTGAACTTGAAGTTCATATCTTGATTTTATATGCTCGAAGCATTAATAGTGAAACTCAAACCTGAAGATTTGAGTATGCCACATGAAAATAAATAAATATATATATATATATATATATATATATATATAATAATGTTAATATTATAGACTTATTATTTGTGATTATGTAATGTGCTCTAATTTATCATTATGTCTATAGTTTTACTCTAATTGTAACCTCCGCTATAATAATAATAATAATAATAATAATAATAATAATAATAATAATAATAATAATAATAATAATGCACAATAAATAATAATAATTGGGACCCTTCAAGTACCTAAGCCGTTTTTATTAAAAAAAACTATTATTCAATCAATACACATTAATTTATTTATTTTAATCTACTAATTTGATATATGTGTATATGTGCGTTTTAAAAAAATTTACAATTAGATTATTTGATAAATAAAATTGTCTTGTGTAGTGCAATTTACATATACATTTGTTTTTTCAACTAGTAGATCCTGGTAATGAATTACAAAAAAACATGAAATATATGACTAAAGGTTTGGATCAACGAGCCCACATGGTTCTAAATAATAATAATTTATAATTAATTTTCAGTAATGGGTAACCTCACCAAGCTTGAATTTGCTGCCCTTGACATTTCCGGAAAGAACT